TATAATGAACGACACTCACTCACGTGGAAAGGCAAAGCATTATTAAAAGCAGGAGTACTTTGGTACGAAACAATTAATTTTTGGATAGGACAAACTAATAGACGGCCTTGCGCTGAATTCCAGGGGAGCGAGGGGGTGGAAAGCTTAGGTTAGCGTTAGTTCAATTCGGGACATGGGAATAAGTACTGCCCTAGAATTTGGCGTAATATAGCCCATTATGTGGGACGGAGTACTTATTCCCATGTCCAGTTTACTTTTCCTAAAACTGTTTGAGATTCGGAAGGCGCAAATTTTTTGAAAACCAGTAAATATGCCCATGCAAATATGCGAGCAAATAAAAAATAACATAGGCACAACAAACTGTCATTCTCTTCAGATACAGCTGAACTAAGCATTCTCCAAGAATTAGTGTAATATGAAGAACGATATATGCTACACTGCCCCAGTGTTTAATAATGCTTTCCAAAACGTTAGGAGAATTCAGCGTAATGTTGCCAAGTGCAGTTTACTAAAGCACACAAGATTTCGTCTAGTTTCGGTGATAAGGGTGTTACAGAGATGAAGGATTTTATAATGTCCCTTACCGAAAGGCCGGGCAATGAGTAGGAAAGTGAGAGAGGATTAGCAAATGTGATCCTAAGCATTTTTCACATTGCACGAATTACGGATAGAATAGGGAGCAAAGTTTGGTAATTTAAAGTCCGCTCGAGCAGTGGGTGAGTTTACTCACTATTTACCTATGAAGTTTTCCAATAAGACAGCACCAGTAAACAGCCTGCCTGAAGTCAGCCAGGAGCTGCTACGTAGGGTCAGCTTTTTTCGGCGTGCATTCAAGTTCGACTGTGAATAGTCAGATGAGGCCCCGAAGGGAAGAGCGTTTTATATTCCACCACCAGAGAACGTTACCATGGGGGAAAATCAGAGGTCTAGGGGGTTTTCGAAGTTGAGCCACCATCCATTTTCTGCTCTCCATTCACATGGGGAGTGTTCATGTTTGCACATCGGTTGCCATATTTTGCTCATTATATATTTGTGTTTTTTATCCTCTTTGTTTATCTAGAGCATAATAACAAGGTCACATCTGCACACTGTACTAGCGCCGTTTTGAAGGAAGTAAAATGCGGCTTCAGTTTTGTGACTAATTCACTGTTCAGCATCCATAATGTCAACATTCGACCATTATGCA